TGGACAAATCATATTCAATTTAGTTTCACCATGAATAATGAATAATGCTTCGATGATGTATCGTAGTATCATTGAACAATCATTTGGTACTAAATCAATATGAAAGAAAAACAGGTATAAATGATAATGATGATGATGATGATGATGTGGTTGATAAAGGTAGATTTACTTACAAACGGGAATGATTGCTATGTTATACAAATCTAATTTGATATAAGGCCGGTAATGAATGGAAGAAGTAACAAGTCGTTCGAAAAATAGACGCTGTTGTTTTATCTGTCGATATGAGAAAGCATAGGGAGTTGGTGGTAATGGTACATTATCTAGATAATTAGCCACCCTACGATTGTCTACGGCTGTTGTTGCTATCACAGCATCCAGATTGGGATCTGTAGTAGAATTTCCTGGACGATTAGCAACATTTTCTGTTACTGCTTCATCCCAAGGTAGAGGAATAAAACACCAATACATAGGATTACAATCAAGAAATGAACGAAGTACTTCTGGACAACGAGCTGAATGTTGATAGAGACGCATATGATTCACTATTTCTTTCCTACAATATGAACCAAAAAAAAAACAAAAAAACAAAATGAATATGACATAGACGAATTGAATGATCTTGTGTGTTTTTCATTACTCTTTCTCGGTGGGATCGAGTGGTGATCCTTGAAATAGAGGACTACCCGTTAATTTTTCATGTATAATTCGATTGCCATGTTCTCGATGATCTGTATTAGCAGAAGAGAAACTAAAACATACGAATGGTCACTCTAATTAAAATGATACTAACAAGTCATAGCATGAGCTAAAGTTTCTGCTGTTGAATCCACATAATCATAATGACCACATGGACATGTCATGGCATAGATTACATTCGATGTAGTTCATGTCTAAATTGTAGTGATAAATTGTCATCAATAAACATTCAATATTTGATAAGAACATACTGCTGGACAATCGAGATACGTAGTGTAGCCATTGACAAATTGATGCATGGAACTTGAGACAAAATCAACCACTGGCCATGTATGACTTTTCTTGTAATTATTTAATGGATAACAACATAGGCAGAATAGATTGCCACATGGAGTCAATGCATATCTTGCTTGAAGTTCATCTCTTCCACAGAAAAGACCTTCCATCTTCGATTGAGGTTTAGCTCCTCGAAATGAACAAGTTTTCATGTAGACGAGATCCACTAAAGAATATCAAAAAATCTATTATATAAAGAAATGATTTGCCTATAAGAAGACTAACCATCTATTTGTAGATAGAATTCTAATGCTACAGTTATTTGTTTTGAATTGAATATAGGTTCTTTCAAGGCAACATCTCTCTTATATAGAACAATTTGTCGAAACAATTCATGTAATGCAAGAAGAGTACAACAGATTCCACGAAGTCGATCAGCATTGAAAGTAATGATTGATTTGCCTATTTGTAATCGTGTAGCTAGTTCTTCAGCATCTTGTTCAGATAAACTAAAGCCATCGGAATAATCATATTTATTCATCATCATCAGAGCATCTAAAGTGTATGCTCCATGTTGACGTCGAGCAATTTCATGAGGTGCAAGACAACTAACTAGAAAATAATAGCAACAATGAAATGAAAAGATTTATGATAAGAACATGTTGCGAGATATGAACCAGGTACATTAGCCAAGAGTAGACACTCATCTATACCAACAGATTTGGTTGGAAATATAGTTAAATAAGCATATCGTCCATTGTTTTTATCTGGTAATGTTGTTGGTTGATATCCATGTTGTTTATCGCT